GACCTATAGCTGATCCTCCAGTGGGTTTTCAGAGGCTATAAATCGCACAGGAGGAGATTACTCATCTTTCTTCCAAGGAGCAGCTGGTGGATCCAAACTGAGTGCCTCTGGGTAAACAGCATTGCTCCTTACCGCTGAGCCAGCAGAGCTCCCAGTCCAGAGGAAAAGTTTCAATATCTATGAGGTCTTCTTCCTAATCTTAACTCATTTGTCCTTCCAATCCATGGCTCTTTCTGACTGGTGATAAGAGGCTACCTGGTGATCACAGTTGTTCTCTGGAGGTTGTGGCGCCCTCAGCTCCAGATGTGGGAAGACAGAGCAGAACAGTCACCCACTCAAGGCTATGGCAGATGGGGGCTTTCCCCAAGCTCATGACACTTTATTTAGTTCTATTTTCTGCCTCTTCCTCGGACTCTCGCCACTCTGTTTCCCTTTGTGTTCTCTGATCCTGATACCTACTACTTTTCCCACTAGATTTTAGTCAACAAAGGCCATTTCAAATGTCTTCTATATTCTCCCAGCCTGTTCATGGCTGACACTAACTAGTCAGGAAAAGAAATTCCTGGAAAGGCATGCTTTTTAATGGGAGCCTTTCTGCAGTCTCCACCTCCGATCCAGTACTGATGGGGCTAAAAATGGCCATTCCCAGGAGGCAATTTCAACTCCTAGTGACCCTGAGGGACAGGGCAGGGCAGGGCTGCCCCACAAGGCTTCAGGGCTGTCATTTTAATGCAGTCAGCCTGAACATCTTTCTCCCACAGAGTAGCCTGGGGGGTTCAAAGCTTCAACTTTCTGGTTAATAGACAAGCTGCTCGAGCTCTATGCCAAACCCCAAAAGTATGACCCCAACCAACCTGCCTGCCTCAAAAACAAAAAAAAAGGCAGAAAAATGACCACAAATTCCTCAGACATTTACTAGAGACTAGACACAACTCTGAAGAGTTTTGTTTAGAAGGCTCCCAGATGGTGATCAGGCAGCATACATCTCAAGCCGAGTTCACATTCAAGAACATAATTTCCTGTAATCCTGGCCCAGCTATCATTTTGTATTAGCATACGTAGGGACATGTTTTTCTGTGTGGGCTGGTTTGTGTGGTGATGTGTTGGTTTGGGGTTTTTTTACACTACTAAAGAAATGGTTTTGTTGGGGGTTTTTCAACTATTAAAGAAAAGGGAGTTCTGGTGGCTTAATCCTTAGGGAGTAGCTCTGCTAACTCAAAACACGGTGCCTCTCTGCAGGTTTGAATCCAACAGCAGAAGAAAGATGGACAGTCTCTTCCTGTGCAATGTACAGCCTCTAAAACCCTGTCAGCTAAGAATGAGCTCCAACTTGATGGCAATGGGTTAGTCAGTTATTAAACAAAGCAGCAGCTCAGCATAAAACTATTTCACAGATGCCAAGACACTTAAAAGTCGTTCTCTAAAGGTTGCAGTGCTCTCAGCTCCAGATCCAGGAAGATAGAGCAGGAAGGGTACAGCACTTGTCTGTCAGTTTGCTGTACTGAGATAATTTAGGATTGCTGTGATCCTGAAAGCTGTGTGTCAAATGCCGTAAAGGTTACCCACGGTGGACAGGGTTTGGTAGAGCTCCCAGATTAAGATAGGCCTGAAAGCAGGATTGGCAACTACTTCCTAAACAACAGGCCTTCGGAAACTCTATGAACATTAGAGAAACGATGACAATTATAAAACAGGTATCAGATCTTTTGTTCATAGGGTAGTTATGAGTCGTACTTGACTTGACAACACTTAACAACAACAATAAGACACTGGTGTTTTAGGAATCTCTATCCTCGACTCAAGAGTCCCAACTTAGGATGTCTATGGTCACTGCATACTTGAGATCCCTATCCTATTTTCCTTCAATACTGCATTTCAGAAGAAACTAGGATACCCACTACAACAAAAACTCCATGTGAATGTTTCTGGAAGGCCCAGTCCTATCTCGTTAAGAAATGGTGTCTTTGGAAGGAAAGAAAAAAAGAGAGCTAAGAAGGTCTATGGGCCAGTCCCTTCTGCAACAGTGGTCCTTCTGAGAGCTACCCATGTCCTGTTCCCAAGGGCTACAGACCACTCTCCTTCACTGGGTCCAGTCTTGACCTGGGTTAAAAAGCTGCTATGGTCTGACATACTTTGGGCATGTTGTAAGGAGGGATAGTCCTTGGAGAGCAACATCATGCTTGGGAGGGTGGAGGGACAGTACAAGAGAGAAAGATCCTGGAAGAGATTGATTGATTCAGTGACTAGGGTAATGAGGGTGAGTGTCTCAGAGACAGTAAGGTTGGCACAAAATAGGGCAGGGTTCCAGGCTATTGCTATGAGTCACAGGCAACTTAATGGCACATAACAACAACTTGGAGCCTTTAGGGGCAGTGGTTTGTGTTAATAAGGGAGGACTAACTCTGAAGAAGAGGATGAGAATAGTCACATAATTCAAAAGTATGTTAATGCCACTGAATTATATTTGAAACAGCTGAGTTAGTGAACTGTTTTGCTGTGTATATATATTAATAACAACAATAAAATAAAGTATAAAAAAGAAGTTTTTAAAAAATGCCACAGTACAAATCCACCAGATGCTCTGCCGGGGAAGGAGGGGCAATCTCCTCCTGTACCAGTCAGATCTGATTTGACGGTACACACAAATAATAAAAAATTAAAAAAAAAAAAAAGCCACAGTAAAAAGGCTCCTGCTTCTTAAACTGATGCTCTGGTATTGAGAAAAGTGTAAAATAGACCAATAGTGTTTTCTTTGATATTCAGTATCAAACCAGGTGTATCAGAAATCATCTTGTAAACACAGAAGATTAGAGGTACTCCTGAGACAATGGAGAAGTGGAGCAGAGAGTCATTTTCTACAGTTAAAAATAGAGAGACACAGAAGAGGGGAGAGAATGGGCCACACTCAAGTCCTATAAATTAGTGACCTGAGTGAGCTCCCGGTTCCCCAATTCCTAAATTTGTGTTCTCTGCTTTATATTTTATCAACCCTAAGAGCTAAAAACTTTAGTTTCGGGAATGAAAAATCATCATCTCCACCACACAGAAATCTCACATAGTGCACATGAATCTATTAGGCGTAAAAGTCAATAATCCTAATAATGACCTTACTTCTAGCCCACTGCTAAAGTGAAAATCAGATGTTAAACAGACTTGAAACAGGAAATAATACATTCATGGAAGTTCACAGTCTTCTTACCCCTTTCAGTGATGCGTGGTCCATTCTGATGAGCTGCACCTCTAACGGACATGACTCAGACAGTGGGGGTGATCCTACTTTACTCTTGGTTTTAGTTGAGTGGAAATAGCTGTAATTAACTCAGCATCTGTATCCTCACCTAGCTCTGAGACCACCAATTGAGTTGAGGCCTCAGCAGTTAACTTTCCTCTTAAAAGTTAACCAAACAATGACTCTTCTAGGCGTGCTTCACTGCTTCCCCCACTCCTCATTATTGGAAATTTTGAGATTCTCAGATAAAGTAAGTATAGACTATGATCTGTATTATTCAAGAAACGTGCACAACACTCTATATGTTCCATCTAGCCTTGGAGAGGATTCTCTGGAAGAGCTCTGGTGGCCTAGTGGTAAAAAGCTGTGCTGGCCACCCAGAAACACACAGTTAGCATCCACCAGCTCTTCCTCAGGAGGACAGGCAATTTCTTCCTGTGTGATTTACCGCCTCTGAAAACACACCAGAGGGTCAGCTATGAGTCAGTACCAACTCGACAGCATACAATACGAAGGGAGGAAGTGCACACAGGTCTACCTACCGTAGAAAGGCTCTACTTCTACCTCTTGGAACTGGTTAAATTCTACACTGAAGCCAATGCCATTAAGTTGACTCCAACTTCCTGTAACTCCATTGGGTTTCTGGGGCTGTAAATGTTCACAGGAAAAGACGACCTTATCTTTCTCTTGTAGGTTGGCTAGAAGATCCACACTACTGAACTTTCTCTTAGTGGCCTTACTCTTGAGGTACTAAGTCACTAGAGCTTTTATCCCTTTTCTTGGGTTTTTATCCCATTGACGTTTCAGAAAAATATCCCCAAATCTCAATCTCTGTGACTTTGTCAAAAAAGAGAATATTATTTCATAATATTATATAATATTATATTATTTTATAAAGTTCTATCTAAAGGATGGTGACGCTCCTTCTCACATACTTGAGGGCCATTGCTAGAAGGGGCTATATCTTGGAGAGGGACATCATGCTAAGAAAGACGGAGGGGCTGGCAAAAGAGAGGAAGACTCTCAATGAGCTGGACTGGCCCAGTGACTGCAGTAATGGGCTCAAGTATGTGAGAGATGATGCACTTGGCTCATGATAGGACAGGGTTCAGGTCTGTTGTTCAGGGTCACTATGAATCATATTAGACTTGATGGCACATAACAACCACCACTTCTTTAAAAGCACAATTCCAACCATTTAAAAGCATCTGGCTGGGGAGCTCTGGTGGCCTAGTGGCAAGGAGCTGCAACTACAATCCCACAGGCACACGGTTCGAATCCACCAGATGCTCTGCCGGGAAAAGGAAGAACAATCTCCTCCTGTACCAGTCAGATCTGATTTGACGGTACACTCACACAAAAATAAAAAAAAATAAAAATAAAAATAAAAGCATCTGGCTTGTTGAGAAGGAAGAAAATTCCTAATTAAGAATTCATGATTATTTTAACAGCGGTACTCTAAAAGACAAACTTTTGTGAATAGTGGATGTTTACTAATCAAATCATAAAATCTTTGTGCCTGCCTCTACTCATATCATAATTACGATTCTTTCTCCTCTAAAGAGGACACACCCAGCACAGAGTTCACCATCCTGTTTAATGATTCTCATTAGAGACAAGTTGACATGGTTAGTTAGCAATGTGTGAAGGATTCCACTGTCTCCACTGTAGTGGAGGCTAATGGTCTAGGTATCATTCAATTCTTATTCAATCAACAACCTCCAAAAACAATCTGTTAAGCAGAAAATGTCAGAAAGTCAATATCACTTACCTTGTGCAAAGGAAGCACAAGGAAGGCACCCCCTCCACTCGCTTCGATGATTATGGCAACAAATCGGGGGTTGACAGCGCAGAAGGAGCTATCCCAGGTCACACGAGACACCCGGATGTCATCATAACACTGGTCATTTTTCACTGCTTGCCCAAATACGTGACGAAACTTGCTCTGGCGTACCACTCGCCTCATGGTGTCTGCGGAGAAAGAGCAAGAACAGAGTTAGCACCAGGTTGGCCAGCAAAGCCTGCTTTTCACACGTGCAAAAGCAGAAAGGAGAGAAAACAGAACAGCATGCCATCAGTCTTTTTTTTTTTTTTTAGAAGTACCCAAATTGCAAATCCACATTTCCTTTCGTGGTGCATACCCAGTGAAAAACTGCAAAATGCGTCAGGGAAATAAGGACAAATAAATGAAAAAAATTTCCAATTCGGGATCCAGAAACAGCCTTGTCAGGTTTTCGGTTTTCACTTTGGGAGAGAAAATAGAGCCAGGGAAAGAATGAAGGAAAATTAGTCTTTAGGGCTGGGTGGGAACTGAAAGATAATTAGCTTCTCTCAGGCCTGTTTGGAAAGATAAGAGAACTCCAAAGTGAAGCTATCTGGTTTGCGGCTGAAGAAAACAAGTTATGGTTTTGTGGCTTCTCCTTCAGGCTGCCAAGGTAATTTTTCACTTCTTAAGCCTTTTTTCCCCAAGACCTCAGTACTGTGGCCTGTTCCCCAGAGCAGTTCCACAAGGCCAACTGTGCACAGAGAAGAACTGGAAAGACATGCAGGCAAATGCTCTTATCAAGAGCCTTCCAATTTCCTTCTCCCAGACTTAGTACTGTGTGTGCTTCCAGGTCAGAAACAGGAAAAATTGGTCTGGGTTGAGGCAGCCCAACCAGGTATTTCAACAGAAAGAAATGTGATGGGAGCAAAGTTTATGATGACAGCAGACAGACCACATGGACAGACAAGGAAGAAGCTGCGTGTCAGGTGGCTGGGCTGAAAAAGCTGGGAGAGCAAAGAAAAAATCCAGGGACTCTTCTGGAGGGAAACAGACACAAGCTACCTAGCCCAGCCAGAGAAGAGGAAGCAAAACAGAGTGGTGTCCTTGGATTCCTTCCTGAGTCATTTTAGACTCTCAACTCCACTGTTGTTAGGTCCCGCTGAGTTGAGAACGACTCAGCAACCCAATGAACAACAGATTGGAACTCTGTCCTATCCTGTGCTATCTTCATTATTTCTGACACGCCCATGACCACTGCTGCCATCATGGTATCAATACATCTCTTTGAGGGTCTTCCTTTCCTTCTCTGATGCTCCATTTTTCCAAGCACGATGTCCTTTTCCAAGGAGTCGCTTCTCCTAACAACATGTCATCTTTGCCTCCAAAGAACACTCTGGCTGCACTTTCCCCCAAATATGTGTGTCTGCTCCTTTGTCAGTCCATGGGACAGGTTGGCCCACACGTCACTGAGAGCTCTGTGCATTAGGGTCGCCAGCCCCACTTGATAAATGTTTCTGAGAAGCAGCCTGGATAGTTCTGGTGCTGTAGTCCACAGTTCTGATAACCCAAAGGATGCTCTCCGAGTGATCCGAATCCACCAGTTGCTCCCGGGGAGAAAGATGGGCAATCACCTCCTGTGCAATTTCCAGCCTTGCAAACCCAATCAGAGGCAATAAGGTTAATGAGTCTCCACCCAATATCATTTCTCCATCTGCTGATACGGAGCATTCCTTCCACTGGGGCTAGAATAGAGGCGGCGGGAGAAAACCTAAGTGGATACGGATCTGGAACACACACAGTCAAAGCCTTGGAGACAGCTGAAAGCCAGTCACCCTGCTCCTCCATGCACAGAGGAGCGCTCATGCTCATCCACGCATGTCAGATGGGACACATGGTGGGATGCTACTAATTCTTTCCTTTTGATTCCCTACCTGATGGTCCTGGACCCAACACTAAACACAGAGGGAAAGCCTTTACTTTTGCCAGAGCCTCCTTCTTGGCATTTCAAGGTATATACAAAAGTGGCCCCTCTCCAGCTCCTAGGGGTACAAGGTAGTAGGTATCTGGCAGGCAGCTGAGCATCTGGCTTCCTGAGCCCAACTGTTGCCAGACCTTTCCAGCTGCCTTCTAGGACCAGATGGGTTTGAAAGCTTGGTAGAGAAGATGGCAACTGATAATGAGTCTTACACTTGGCCAGTGTCTGCCACTTGTGAAACTGTCTGAGCACGAGCTAGGTAAGACAGCTTCCGTGAAGTGGTAAAATCAAGAAGAAAGCACATGCTTGTGAAAAATCTCATCTACAGCCAGCTGGACTCAGGATCCACTTTTCTATACAGGCAGCTGCACAAATTATAAGTGCTGGAACCCCACCAACGTTCCCCCAGGAAGTGTGCCAAGAGTAGGTTTACATAGAAGGGGGGAAAAGACCATTCCACATGTTACTAGCCAGCATACATAAAAAGTTCTTACACATTCCTTAGACCAAAAACCTCAGTAAGAAATTAGGCAGAAAGCAAGGAGTGGGGATTGACAAAAGAAAACACCAATGGCTGTTATCATCACTCTTTCCTGAAATCCCCTTGTAATGACTGTAAAGAAATAAAAGCATAAACCTGAAAGGCCAGAAGCACTGGAAAGGGATCTATGAGAGAGCAGACAGGACAAGGTCTTGGAGGATGGACTGCTAACATGCACACAGAACAAGCTGGAGGGTGAGCATTCTCTATCCAAGATCTAATCTCAAGAGAGGCTCAGAAGCAGTAGCCCTGGCATGTTTCTGAAGAAGTTGGTCTGAAGGGAAGGAGAACTGGCTCAGAGCCTGAGTGAGGAGCCAGTCAGTTGCCATGGAGTCTGCCCTGACTCATACCCACAGAGGGAACTATACTCCATGGTTTTCAATGACTGATTATTTTTTTCCCCCAGTAGACTGCCAGGCCCATCTTCAAAGGTGTCTCTGGATAGACTCATACTTCCAACCTTTTGATCAATAGTCAAGTGCATTAACTGTTTAGACCATCCAAGGAGAAGGCAGACTCCCATATTCCTTCTTCCAGGTCTGCACAATCAGGGATATGCCGACTCCCACCCTGGAAGAGAACAGAAGAGGCCAACAAGCTCTTCCTGTCACACTGCCACCACATCAGTCTTACTTATTTAACCTTTTGTTGTGATGGGAATGAAAGTTTACATAACAAACTGGTTTTCTTTTTTAACAACCCATACACATGTGTTGTGACACTGATTATAATCCTGACACTGTAACAGCATTTTTCCCACTTCCTGTGTTTCCTGCTTCTGTATGTCCTTTTTTTCCACTTCCCCTTCCTGCCTTCTGTGTTTTATCCCTAGGCATGCTGCCCTTCTGACCGTGTATGGTTGATTGTTCGAAGGACAGTGTACCTCCCTGATGTTACTGGTCACCTTACAGGCCTGTCATTTGACTGAAAGTTGAGTCAAAGGGTGATGTCACACTGTGGTCTTGGGTCCCACCAGTCTCTATAAGTCCTGGTCTTTATCATTTATAGATTTTTGTTTCACAATTTTCTCCCACTCTATCAGGGGTCTTCTACTGTTATCCTTTTGAGCAGTAAGCCGGAGTAGCCGGGTACCACCTAGTGCCTCTCGTCTCAAGGTCATTGAGACCACAGCTCTTGTGATCTATCAGGCCTCTGGACTATTTCCTTCACTCTGCTCCAGAAGATGAGAAACGAGTAGAGGCACCTTCGACAGCTGCTAGCAAGCTTTGAAGTTGCCAGCTGCTATTCACCAAAGTAGGATATTGTCTTTATGAACTATGCATTCAGTCCTATTTTTAAATGTGAATAGACGGTACAGTGCTCCATTTAAAAACCATCCTTAAAATCTTAGCAATAGGAATAAGCAATAAGGAAATAAGATACACCCAAATTAGTAAAGAGGAGGTAAAATTATCTCTATATGCAGATATGATAGTATACTCAGAAAACCCTAAAGACTCAGCGAGAAAACTACTGAACATAGTCGACCAATTCAGCAAAGTGGCAGGATACAAGATCAACATACAAAAATCAGTGACAAAGAATACAGTGCTGGAGCTAAGAAAAACAAAACCCTTCACAATAGCTTATCACAAGAGTAAATATTTGGGAGTAAATCTAACCAGAAGAACAAAGAATCTATTTTTAAAAAATTACAAAACATTATTATAAGAAACAAAAAGACACTTGGAGAAATGGAAGAATATACTTTGCTCATGGATAGGAGGACTTAATATTGTGGAAATGACAATACTATCAAAGGCAATTTACATGTTCAATGCAATCCCAAAACAAACACCAATTTCATTCTTTGACGAGATGGAAAAGACAATCTCCAATTTCAATTGGAATGGAAAGAGGCTCTGAATAAGCAAAGCACACTTTAAAAAGAGAAGAAGGGGAAAAAAGAGAGAGAGAGAAAGGTAGGAGGCATCTCACTCCCTGATTTCAAATCCTCCTATACTGCCGTGGTGAAATCAGTTAAGTGGGGAAATGACAGCCCTTTTTAAAAAAATGTGTTGGCAAAATTGGAAAACTATCTGTCGGAAACTCAAGCAAGGTCCATACCTCACTCCACACACAAAAACCAACTCAAAGTGGATAAAGGACCTAGTACTAAAACCAAGGACTATAAACTTCATTAGAGAAAAGCTTGGAAGAACTCTAGAAGCCCTCATCCACAACATGAACAGTCTTCCAACCATTCTGAAAAACCTACAACCAGGAGTGGATTAGATTAATGGAACCTTCAAAGAATAAAATCCCTTTGCATATTCAAAAGCTTCTCCAAAAGGGTAAAAAAGGGAAGGCACAGACTGGGGAAAAATATTTGACAATGACATGTATGATAAGGGACTTAAATCTAGAATTTATAAAATATTCGAGCATCACAAAAAGATAAAAGGCAAACAACCCAATTGAAAAATGGGCACAGGATATGAACAGACACTTCACCAAAGATGACATTAAGATGGCCAACAAACACATGAAGAAATGTTCAAAGTCCCTAGCTCTGAAAGATGCAAATCAAAACTATGAAATATCATCTTACCCCAGTAAGAACAGTAAAATTCAACAGAACAGAAAACAGCAAATGCTGGCGAGGTTGTGGAGAAACTGGCACCCTTATTCACGGTTGGTGGGAGTGCAAAATGGTGCAACCACTGTGGAAGGCAGTATGGCGCTTTCAC